ATCCATCCATCCATCCATCCTTGGAGTTACGGGCGTTACCTGTTTTTCTAAGATAAGAGAAAAAATGTTGCTTGGCAATAATTAATATTTCCACATCTTCCATATCAAAGGGATAGTTCACCTCAAAATGAAAATTCTGTCCTCATTTAGTCACCTGTTGTTTTAAATCTGTATGCCTTCTGTGAAAATCAAAAGAAGGTATTTCGAAAGAACATAGGGGCCTAAAACAACATTTGGACCCCATTGACTTTCACTGTAAAAAACAAACAGACATTTTCAAAGTGTTCACAAAACTATATATATCTTTGTCTCTCTCAAGTGTGCATAACATAAAGCAGCACGGTATAGCAAAATTGCCAGCGTTTGACATTTGCTCTATTGTAGGTGCTGAGTGTGCCAAAATGCTAAACACTCATTTAGCACTGCGGCACTCAGGGGACCCATTCAGTTTGAGAGAATGACCGTATAGCATGTTGAAGGGGTCCGAGTGTGTGTGTTTGCTCGAGTGCCGTCCAGTGTGCTTGTGTGTGAGGAAACTGGTGGTCCAGCTCTGTGATTGTGCTCTCTGTGTAACCTGGCTCGGCCCAGCCCTCTGGGACAGTTGCTCATTACAAAAGGCCAGCATGGGAAATGCCAGCCCCTCTCCTCCTCCTCCTCTCTCTCTTTCTGAACATTCTTAAGTCCTTGTGTCAGATATTAAGCAGCACCCTCCTGATCCTCTTTCTCTCCCTACATCTCTTTCACACACCCTCCTCCTCTCTGTGTTTATACATGAATATCTGACTTCCTAACAAGGCAAACCCACGTATGGTCCCCACAATGCACTTTCACACCCAATATGGTAGTCCTGATCTTTTATTCAGGGCTTGTGTGCGCAGAAACATGCTGGGAAGTATCTATCTATCTATCTATCTATCTATCTACACTGAACAAAATTATAAATGTAACACTTTTGTTTTGTATATATATATATATATATATATATATATTAGTATAACATATTTTTATAATTTGATTTTATTACTTTATTTATTGCAACATTCCATGATGTATTTAACAATTCCATTATTTAATTATGCTTACTTTATTACGTGAAATCACTCCTTTATTTATTTATGCATTTTACTTATTCACCATTGGTAACTTTTATCACATCATCAAGCCACTCGAGGCTGTGCATTACAGATGAACACCTCTTACACATGTAGAATCATTATAAAGCATGGCCTCTTTTTGCGTTTTACTTTGTTTTACAGGTACAGTCCTTAGGAGCAATCTGGGGTTAAGTGCTTTGCTCTCAATGATGGCTGTTCATGAATCACCGTTTTCTGGCATAGATGTTCCTGTAGCTCTGTAACTATTAGAGCATGGCGCTAGCAATGCCAAGGTCGTGGGTTTGATTCCCAAGGACCACACAACCTGACAAAGTGATGAATGCACACCTTGTGAGTCACTTTGGATGAAAGCGTCTGCCAAATACATAACCTGCAACCTTTTTGCATAACCAGTCCAGATTTTCAACCACTAACCCACACCAGAATGAAACACTCATCAGTTTTTTAAACTGTCTTACATCCAACACACTCCCAAACAGGAGGATCACATGCTAATGAAAATATCCTGAAATGAAAAAGCCAATAACTATGCAGACCTGAAGCCAAAAATACATTTTTTTTTCTACCACTCCTGAAAAGGCTCCCATGCTCAGTTTTACCCTATTGACGTGACGTGACATGTGACATGTGGCCAAGTATGGTGACCCATACTCGGAATTAGTGCTCTGCATTTATCCCATCCAAAGTGCACACACACACACAGCAGTGAACACACACACACCGTGAACACACACCCGGAGCAGTGGGCAGCCATTTTTTGCTGCGGCGCCCGGGGAGCAGTTGGGGGTTCAGTGCCTTGCTCAAGGGCACCTCAGTCGTGGTATTGAAGGTGGAGAGAGCGCTGTACATTCACTCCCCCCACCTACAATCCCTGCCGGTACGAGACTCGAACCCGCAACCTTTGGGTTACGAGTCCGACTCTTTAACCATTAGGCCACGACTTCCCCACGTTCACTACTTTTCTCAAAGACTAAACCAATGAGTTAAGAAAATAAACACTGCAAATATAATGTATGCACAGAAATATGTGAACCAAGACAGGAAAAAGGCAATATTACATAATGTACAGTCCACTCCAGAATAAGCACATATTTTTAAACTCTTTGAAATTCTGGATTTTCCCAAAGCACTTTAGATTCACACACTCAAAGGAGTCATCTGAGTGAATTTGTGAGTAGTATGAGCCTCCAGTCTGGTGTTTTTATGCTGTGACCTGGATTTCAAAAGAGGGTAATAGAGGGCCGAGGAGGAAGATGGGCTCTGGTCTAAAACATAGTGAGCTGCCTGCATAGGGAGCATTTAAGGCTGTGTAGGCACGTTCACAAAGTACAATCTTCATGCTTAGTTTCTAAAACAGACTTTAGAAGCTAGGCAGCAAGATTGTACTGTTTGATATCTTATATGTTTTTGCTGCTCAAATATTAATAATATAAAATAACACAAGAAATGCTGATTAAGAAAACATCTTAGTTTCTAGAATATCCTAAATCGGTCACTTATGAACTGCAGAAACATGTTCTTAATCAACGTTCCTGTCTTGTTCTGCAGGATATCTGAAGGTCTTTAGAACAGGAAAAATTTGTTTGAGTTGCAAAATTGTGTAAGACAGTGTGATATATATGCATCAATAATGAGGATTTTAATTGTTTTGTAGTTCATATTTTGATGTTTGAAGGATTTTAACATCATAAATAAACCTTTAGATAAAAGGTAGTTAGATAAAAAAATAAAAATAAACATAATTTTTTTTACAAGATATATTGTCTAAACATAAATGTTGAACAACTTACTGCTTCTCAGAAGTCAGAAATGTGAGACGTTAACTCAGAATTACAAGAAAAAAGTCTGAATTGTGATATAAAAAGTCTGAATTGTGATACAAAAAGTCGCAGTTACCTTTTTTTTTCAGTATCCCATGGCGGAATCAAGCTTCCATAAAAACGAGACAAAATTACATAAATTAAAGGCTAAGAAAAGTTTGTTTGTTTTTGCACCATGTGAAGAAAAATATAACAAGGCAGTATATGACAAGGCAGCTAACTAGGTTTTAGAACAGAGACACATAGATATAAAAAAGTTGTAGTTGTCTCACCATTAGAGGAGTTTGAGAGATATTAGGTGGGGCTTTGGATACGTTTCATCACCTTAGCGACTAAAAAACCCTGGTTGTGTGTAGACCCTCTGTTGTTGAGGCTCCGCCCCTCTCTGTGGAATGGCAGGTCAGACATGGGGAACAGAGTGGGCTCTGTGTAAGAAGAGCAGGAGCGTTTGGGCCGCTGTTTGCTGAAGTGTGCTGTACCTGTATGAGATGGATTGGAATGGGCTCGGATAGGAGGTTCTTTATGTTCTCTGAGAATCTATAAGACTATTTCGACTGGATCAGTTTCCTAACTGACATTTGAGTAACAATTATTAATTGAGGACAGCTGTGATTTCCATGAATAGAAAATGCATTTATTACTTTAAATTTTACTTTAATTTATGCTTTTACATAATTTATATTACATGTATTTATTTTATACTTTTGTATTAGTTTTTTTTTAATTTTACTAATGCTTTATTATTAATCTAAATTATTCTATTCTATTCTATTCTATTCTATTCTCAAAGCAACACTATCTAAATAATGCCCCAGACAGTAGATAATTTTGTATGTAATTTACTTAATTTTGGGAAAAAAACAAACTAACAAAATCTTTGGACCGGATTGATATGATCTGCAAAACAACATTTTTCTAACCTTCCGAGGAAAAAAACAAATCCCATAAAAATTGAGCTTTTGTACGTTTTTTTTTTGTCTGATAAATTGTCACAGAGTGCGAAATCAGCAAGCTAAAGTTTACATAACAGTGAAACTTCATCAGATCTGACAATTCAAGACCAAGATATTAACAGTTGTGAATGTACTACACTGTTTATTGCAAATATTTGCTGAAGAATAGCAAGTCTCATACAGTTTTCTGCTTTGGTGGTCTGTGGCTCTGTCCAGAAATGATAATATAAACATTGAGAAAAACCAGTGTTGGCAAACAACTTTTGTTGTGTCGAGCAGCTTTACATCAGTCATAAACGTCTGAAGGCTTTTCCTCCATTTCACATGAATCACAGATAATGTTCATTGAAAACCCATAATGATTGACCATTAATCTGAGTAATCTTGTGGGGAACATGTCCTTATCCATGTCTATGGTGGTTTCAGCCCTGCCTGAGCTCAACCACTGTGGCGAACAGAAAGGCGGGATGTGAGAGTCTGATGTAAAGGGTGCTGCGTAATGTCAAGTTTCTAATGGAAATGTTATTTGACAGAACAGAGTAAACAAGTTTTGCAGTGCAAAAAGTTGAGAAAGAATGCGTTAAAGGGAAAGATCTTTTCTGAAGTTTTTATTTTATTTTATTTTATTTTATTTTATTTTATTTTATTCCAAAGAAAACCTGCAATTTGCTTAATTCTTACATCCTAGTTAGGCCTCTCAGTAATGGTAAACAAAAATTATATAATAAAATATATTTCTAATATTTATTGAAGTAAGTACATTTCTATTCTATTCTATTCTATTGAAAGCCCCCAGTGTGCTTACTTAGACCCCTCAGTTATAATAAACAAAAAGTGTATAATAAAAAATATTTATAGTATAGTTAAACACATATAAATGTGTTTTATTTTATTTTGCCCAAGAAAGCCCAAGGCCTCTCAGTAATGTAATTACAATAATTATAATATTTGAAGTATTTTATTTTGTTTTGTTTTGCTGAAGAAAGCCCACAATTTACTTCAATCCTAATTACACCCCTAAGTAATAGTAAACAAAGTTTCTAAAATGCACTGTTGAATTTATTAAATGTGTAAACATAATGGCTTGTTGTTTTTTCTTTGTCTCTTTGCAGTTTGCCGGTTAGCCTGCCACAGGAAGTGTGAGGTTAAGGTAAGAAACAACGCATGCTTGATTTGTCATGTTAGATACTCCAACAGGCAAAAATATGTCTGTAACACTGAAATTGTGTTGAGAGAGACTTGTGCTTCCAGAACAAGGTTGTGAGCCTTCAGAACTTCCCTAAATGGTTGTGTCTGCTTGTACAGGTTTGGCTCCTTTTGTCAAATCCACCATCACGTTTCTGTCTGGAAACCAAACAAATCTTATCAAAGAGGACATTTTTCTGCCTTTATAGTGGACAAGCCCCTCTAGTAGGGGAAGGGTATTGGCGTACTCTGAAATCTAAAAAAAAAAAAACAATAACTGCATGATGTCCCAGGACATGTTTGGCTTGGCCAACTTATTCCTTGTTTTAGAATACCCTCCGCAAAATTAAGCCCCTCAACATTTCCTGTATGATAGGGCCATTTTGAAGGGTGTTTTGAGAGTGAGAGTGTATGTGATTAGCAAATAGGTAGGGATATTTTGTTCGCTCTGTTCCAAAACCTAGTGAGCTGCCTTTATTTTATGCCTATGCTTCTAAGGCAGCATCCCAATCTTACATGGAACCTCAAAGTGATTGATTTGGAACACTCTACATTGGCAGAAACTCATGGGAAGTGCACATGTGTTATGACTTAAGGTGCATTCACATTAGCAAAATTTTGTGGACAAACAAACAAAAAAAAACTCCCATTGTTGATGACCACTTTCTTTTGGCCAAAGGGGAATTTGACATTTGTGTTGAGAACTTGTTCCTCCCTCGCATGAAACTCCCAATTGCACAGATTCCTATTGAAATGACTGGATTTTGAGCAATGGTAAATTTGGCTGAATCTTTACAATTGATTTCAGTAGAGTTTGATGTTGACATGTTGCTAAACTGACAATGTGACACTTTAATTAGTATAAAAATACTAAGCACTTATATGTATATTCTTGTATTGAATCAAATCAAATTTCTGCATTACCATCTTGGATGGATTTTTTTCCACTGAGTTTGTCACAATGCATTTTTGTCGTTCTGTGAAACTGCCTCATAATTTGACCAAAGAATGCAGCATGATTATGTTGTCTACCTTTTGGAACAGCCTTGGTGTTCTACACTTTATAATAGAGGTTCTTTTATGCACATCTATGGTTCCATGAAGAACCTTTAACATCCACGGTACCTTTCCATTCAACAAAAGATTATTTAGATTCTTCACATTAAACAAAAAATAGTTCTTACAAGATCTGTTCACTGAAGCGTTCTTTAGGGAACCTAAAATTGTTCTTCCTACATAGACAGCTCACTAGGATTTGGAACTGAGCCGCTGATTAGTCCTCTCCATCATCTCTGATCTCCGTATGGCAGCTATTATTGTGTATATTGGTGATGTGTTTGTGTCGGGCAGCTAGTCCTACCTACTACTGTGCCACTTTTTTGCACCCACAGGAAATTCCAGAGGTGCGAAGGGGTGCGTGTGTTTTAGAGCCCTGTTGAGTTGCACATTGGCATTCAGCAATGTGTGAGCATTTCACTGTGTGCTTTGTAGAAACTACAGGATGTCTTGGGATGTGTTCTCTTTGAGATCATCAAAGAAAGAAAGAAAAAAACAACAACAGGACGGGGCTTTTTGTTTGATAGATTGCGTCTGATTTGGGAGGACAGCTATGACACCCTGAAGCTCCCTTGATTAAACTGCGATTAAGGCTCAAAAAATGCTCCAGATCGGTTTAAAGATGTGACTTCCCTCGCCAGAATCACTGAGGAATTTCCAACCCCATGATCCAAGAATGGATGCAATTTGTTTCCTGTCATTAGATAAAAGATGAAAATGACAATGAATGATGCAGAGCTGGTCTTGGGATTCCTCCCGATTAAGAATTTATTATGGAAATGACTTGAAAAAGTCATCGTGAAAAGCCGTTTGCATTGCAAAAAGAACCCGGCAAAGTAAAAAAAAAAAACCTCTCTTTTGAAACAGTAAATTAACACGTTTTTGCTTTTCAAGATTTTAAATGTATATAAATATTAGTGCTGTCAAAATTAGCGCGTTAACGCAGGCGATACATTTTTTCAGTTTAACGTGTTAAAAATATTTAACGCAATTAATGCAGGGGCGGAGCTAGGGTTGGCCACCCCACTCACAACTGCTGTTTCTGTCACTTTTTCTCTTGACAAGAAGTGCATTTATTCAGTCGCAGAATGTCTTTACGAGCACATCAAACCGGAGACGTTTCAGACAAGCGCTCCAACTTCACTTCAGTGCCACACGTGAGTCAAACGAGCACGGAAACGGTCCTGTGCTCGTAGCGCGTGCTCTTCAATTGCACGCACAAAGGCGCCGCCGCGCACAGTACCCTGTATCATTTCCTATCAAAGCGCGAAATAAACTACGTGCATGCAGTGTCGTGGTCAGTTAAGTCATGAAGTTACCAAAAAGGTGATTAAAGCTGCCTTAAAACTGTGCATGCATGTAATATTTTTGTCACATTTAAGAACATGTCTCTGAAATGGTTTTCAAAAATGTCCCGGAGCAGCCCAGCACCGTCTCCCTCATCCAACTCGTCAGTTCATTAGTAGAGACTTTAAGACTTGAAGTGGGTCAGAAAAGGTAAAGAGAGTTGAGAGAAAATACGATGCGTGACAGATCCGCGTCACGTTTAGCAGCGGCAGCTCTTAAAGAAATAGAAGGTAAACAACCTAATAACCAGCTGCTGTGATGACTGTTAAATGTTGAATGGCTATAGTCAATGGTTAAATATTAGGGGGAAAAATAATTTTATAGAGACATCAGTATTGGTTTCAGTGATATGGCCTTCAGTCATAAAAAAGAATATTAAAAGTATTATATATCTTTTAAATATTAAAAGAACAAATATAAAAAATATACTGTCTTTATGTTGTTTGTACATTAATTTGAAGATTTAATGTGAAATTATTGCAATATAAAAGTATATTTAAAAATTAATGTTAGGTGGGATTAATCACGATTAATTTCAGAAAAGAATTACAATTAATTAGTTGTTTTTTTTTAATCGATTGACAGCACTAATAAATATATTTTTTATTTTATTTTATTTATAATAGTAAACAAAAAGAAACTTGTTGTGGAGGCTAAGCATGTCATTTTTGATTAATGATTGTATTTCTATTGACCTTTGAAAATAAGGTACACAAATTGCCAAGGATTGTGCATTATACAAATTTAATTGGGTCAATTTTGATTTCATGTTGAGATCCCAATACAAATTCAATTGAAATTCAAGCAATTTATATAATTCAAGCCCTTGTCAGATGGACATTTTCCATACCAACGTACTATTCCATAAATCTCAACGTCCATATTTAGATAAGATGTGGCTGCTGTCTAACCTCTGCCATGAAAAACTGATGAAAAAATGCTCAGACCATTTGCACTGTCCAGACTTAATGGCTAACTGGCTCTGCTCTGAGAAATGATGGAAGAAACAAGAAAAATGGCACATGAACACAAATATGACATTGCTACTAGACACAGGCTGAAGTATCCTCCGCCTAAAATACACACAATGACTAGAATTTTAAGCATCTGTTTTAGGATTTTTAGATGTTTTTTTACTGAAAAAGTAGATACAAGTATTAGTTAAGAATGGGGTTTTTTGGCAGCTAAGAGAGCTGGGACAAATTTCAGCCTGCAGAAAGGCCAACATCATAAATGTGTCTTAGATAACAAAAGGTTGTGCAGGTCAGACAGCTCCAATCACAACAAATTCACCTTCTCCAATGTCTCTTCTTCTCTCATTACTATTGCTCATTTCTGTCGACAGCTTAGCCTGGTTTCACAAGGGGTCGGAAATGACTGCACGGTTCACAAGTGGGTTCATTGCACACGGGCTTGGACCAGTTTAGGCACGTCCGCTAGACTGGACTTGATTGGAATTCCAAAGGCTGGAAAATGAAGTTACAGTCTCTAGGTGATTGTAAATATAGGCAAGTGAGGTTAAGTGGAAGAGTAAATGAATCATTAGACTCAAAGGCCAGCCATGAGCTGTAGCGAGCTAATGTGAGACGCCGGCGGCGAGCATGTGTGTACAATGCCAGTTCACCGCGGGGAGAGTCAGCGTGCTAAAGAGGGCAATTACTGGAAATGCCAGAGGAAATCAGTGTGAATTAAAAGGTGTGAGAAAACATCTAATCAAAGATGTCAGATGCGGCTTTATTGTGTAGTCTGACACGTTTCTTTAATCCTGTATAGAATTAGAGTCACTAATGGGAATTGCAAAAATGATGACTCGTGGTGGGTATTTAGATACATCTCAATGAGTCAACAAATAATTCACTGAGCTTTATTAATTGTCTTAAATCTTTGGAATCAGTTCATCAAAAATATTTGTTTGTTTATTAATTTTAGTTACCTTTTCTGTAGTTTTTTTTCAGTGAGTTGAATCTTTTGAATCAGTTCACTATTAAGATTTGTTGATTGATTTGTTGAGTTACTTTCTCTTCAGATTTTTTGGCATGCTATGAATGACTCATTAAACCATTCACTCACCTAGATTCGGTGAGTTAAATCTTTTGAATCATTTCAGATTTGTTCATTGATTCACTTAGTTACCTCTTCTGCAGGTTTCTTGTGTTGAGTGAGTCAATAAATAATTCACTTAACTTTGTTCAGTGATTCAAATCTTTTGAATCAGTTCACGTTAGTTATTTAGTTATCTAGTCTGTAGGTTGCTTGAGTTATGAATGAGTCAATAAATTATTTACTGAAATTTATTCAGTGACTCAAATCTTTTGAATCAGTTAATTAAAAAGATTTGTTCATTTATTAGTTTAGTTGCCTTGCAAGCTTCTTGTTCAGACTCATGTGGACTGATGAAGGGGCATATTTGTTAATTAGGTACAACTAATGAAGTGTTCCTTCACAGCCTAATCGAATGCAATTTGCTTGTGCTGTACTCAGTCTTTGAAGGTAGAAAAGCACTAATGCGATTCAAATGGGAGAGACTTGCCACTGCATGGAAGTGAATGAGAATGTTTTTTT